ATATTACAGTTGGAACCTCATTGTATTTAGAACTTGGTTATAAATACAACCTTCCTATGTCTATTGAAACACTCCATTAATAAAATAAGCAAACAAGTAAAGAAAAAAACTTTTCAAAAAAGGAAGAAAATATAGGGATGGCTAATATAAATCCTTCAAAAACAATACATCTTCCCTACATAGTAGCACAGGCAAGAATTAACATACAGCAATATATATATATATAATTATTCAATCTCAGATTTTATCCTGTTTTTGTCTGTTAACATTCTACTACACTGTGTGTGTGTGTGTCTTTTTTTTTTTTTCTATAACAGTTTTACTTGGATCAGAATGTTGTTGTGTCTGGGTTTTATAAATGATGTTTTACCTCTAGATGTCCTTAACTCGTATGCTGATAGTCAAAGTTAATAATTAGCTTAAGTAAGATATAGATATGTTATTTTTAGTGAACAGATGGTAGCTCTGAAGATAATAAAGAATGTGGACAAATACAGAGAAGCAGCAAAGTTAGAGATAAATGTGCTGAAGAAACTAGCTGATGCAGACCAGAATGGAAGGCAGTAAGTTTTCTTGAAATAGATTTGACACTGGCTGTATATTTTTAATTATACATTTTGCATTAATGAACTGAAGAAGTTAAGTGTACTATCCTTGATAGAGAACAGTAGGCTGATTTAAAATAGCTTTGTCATTACGTGCTACATTTTATATTAATGACCTGAAGAAGTTCCAAAACATACTTATCTCTGCTGCCACTTATAGCTATTATTCAACTTTGCCCATCTAAGCATTGGTCTGATTTTTTTCACTTGCTCCAGTATTTTATACCCCACTCAATTGCCCTTGACAATATTTGTCTCGTGATACTCTCCACCTACGTCAATTCGCCCTCTATCATGTTACTGCATATAAGCACTTCATTCAGATAATTTTATAACTTTTTCTTGACAGAGTTTAGACACTGATTTCTTTACAAAAGTGCTGCAATAGTTAATGTCTTTAGTTGTGATTTTTTGCATCACCTAGTGGCTTTCTGTATAATTTATATTTAATAATTATTATTTAAAAAATAAATAATTGTGCGACACACCGTTTTCAGGCATGCCATTGCCATTTTTGACTATCCTATGTGGGGGAGGGGGAATGAAATCTTTTCTCAACCGATGTTGGCATTTTTCTCTAGTCTGTGGATGACCAAGTTCGATGTTGCCAATGCATATCTCCACATTCCCATGCAACATCATCCCAGCGCTATCTACATTTTGTGCACAAGGGTCAAGTTCTGTAGTTCAGGGTTCTGCTATTTGGCCTAGCATTTGCACCATATGTCTTCTGCAGAGTCGTACAAGCTTTTTTTCATCACGTTTGTGCTTTGGGCCTGTGCACACACCATTATATGGATGAATAGTTATTTCTGGCACCATCTCGTCAATTGGCAGTACAACCCACCCATCTCTTCACAGATGCCTCACTTTAAAGATGGGGTGCATATATCGACAGTCGGGAATTCCAGGGTCTATGGATGGTAGGCAAATATTTCTTCCACATCAATATTTTAGAACTTCTTGCAGTCTAATGATTCATTCTGACAATTCCACAGTGGTCTCTTACATTTAACATCAAGAGAACGTGTTCTTGGGACCTTTGTTTTCAAACTTTGGATATTATTTACTGGACCCACACCCATCATATCAGCCTTCTGGTTTGCCATGTTCCAGGGCTGATGAATTTAATAGCAAATCACCTGTCTCGGCCCAACTGAATGGATGCTCCATCACAAGGTTTTCCAGTGAATTTGCTCTCAATTTGGAAGTCCGATGATCAACACATTCACCACTCATTGGAACTCTCAACTACAGGCATTTTGGTCCCCGGTACCTCATCCTCAGGCTTCAGTGATAGATGCATTCAGTCAAGATTGGACAGAATTGCACCTCTATGCCTTTTCCCCCAATTCGTCTATTACCCAAAGTTTTGGCTATGATTTCATCTACTACTTGTTGAGTAGTGTTGGCAGGCCCAACCATGGTTTCCTCTTTGTGAGGATCTCCTCTTTTAGAGGGTTCTTTAGTCACTTTTCAAAGAATGCTTCTTTCTTTCCCTCGCACTGGTCCTTTCATCTATTCAATGTGGGATTCTAGCTATTTATGTGAGAGGAGGTAATGTTCCGTATTGGAAGTTATAATTTTCCTATACTGAAAAGTTATTTTTGATAGGTAGTTACCTCCTCTCAAACTTCCCCACTGAAAACTTCCATTTTCTCCCACAACTGGAAGTGTCGTACTACTATTGGTGGAAAGTTGTTGCATGATGATTCACTTGCAAGATGCAGTTGAACCATGTTGATCGTAGGGTACGTGAGAGCTCAAGGCTTGTGGCATGCAAAAAAAAAATGTTGTATTTAGAGGGCAGAACTGAATGAGAATAGCTATGTGAGGAGATATGAGTACCTATCAGAAATACATTTTCATTATAGGAAAAATTATAACTTTCATGTTCTAGCTTGTCAATATTGGTAATCAGAGTTTCTAATTCATTAAAAACTGTAGATTTACATTTTATGATGCCCACAATACAATCTGAGCAAAAGCAGATGATAATGTACTATGTGACATACAAAAATTGATATTTAGCCTTTTTTTTTATATTTGCTCTTGAATTAAGAAATTAAATAACTTATAATACTAAAATTTGAATTATGAACTGCAATTTGGTTTCAAATTTATAGACATACATTCATAAAATAGTAGTGTAATAAAATTTTGAATGTAAATCTACAAAACATGATCACATACGTGATAACAGGTGCTATAATCTCTACCTATAGGGAAAGGGTTAATAGGCCAATTTACTTGAGAACTGACTCGTGGGGTAAGGTCCTCAACTATAACAGGTTTATGTATGATCTACGTAAATATCAGGCCAACTTAGTAGACTACTGACCTTTAGGGTAAGGTCATAAATTTTAATGGTTTCCACAAGGTGATAATCAGTTGCGTCTTTTGCTCTGTGTGGAAGTTTTGCTTCAATAGGTATGTTTGAGTTGTTATTACTATTCTGTTCTTTAGAAAAGTGAAGTACTATAGATGTGGAAATGTCACTGTGATTACAGTCTCTGATGGATGCTAGTACTCTCTCCCTTCTCAATTTGTAACATACCGATCAGAATGTAAAGAGCATCCAAGTAAAGTAAACATTTTACATTAACCAGTCAGTCCCTGGACACAAGCTTATCAGTTTTTGTTCAGGTGGAGTGGGAAGTGATTTCACAAATATGTCTAAATTTAAATCCGGTATTTCAGTTAACCCAACATCCCGTGTATTGGAAGACTTATCTTTCTTACTGTTTCTTGAGAGATAAATTAAATAACCAAGGTCAAGTCAGGGACAGTTTTCTGATGTTTTCTCATGCATATTCCACTTAAAAAATTCTAAATCAATTATCATTAAATATTTGAGATTTGGTATAAAAGTATAACATTAGCTGAAGGACTCAGGCACAAACATTATATATTATAATTATTGAGTATGTTTAACTCTTAAGACGAGTCTGTTGCTGTATGATGACCATATAATGTGATTTGAATTTCTTGCTAGAAATGCAAATTGAGTGCACCAAACCAATAGACAAAGCCTAATCTGCACAGATAATGATCTCAGCCACTGTTTCTTGCTATCCAATGTGACATATGTTGCTGTTAAAGAAAACAATAATATTTGCAGTTGAAAATTCTTTAGTTTTTATGAGAAAATAGACCTAAAATGACATCAAATATCTCCAGTGTTTTCAAACTTTAAGATACAATTGAACTTGTGCAAGATTATGATAATTCTGGCTCTGAACCTGAATTATGTGACAGTCGTTTTGAGCTTAATATGACTGATATGGATAGTAGTAATGCTGAAGCTGGGCCCTTGGCAAGTGATGATGGGGACACTGATGGTAACTATGAGGTTCCCATTTATAAAAGGGCTAAATTTCAAGGTAGAAATTAGGAAAACCTCGTGGACATGGTGCAGGACCTATAACAGGTATACTGTTGCCATTGCTAGTACAGGTGGGTGTATATCTACACATACATGACCTCCTAGGGCTAGGCCTGGTTAGGCACAACAACCTGCACATGGTCATGGTTGACTTGTTTATGACACTCTAACTAGGCATGGACTTGGTGATATAAAAAACGATAGGGGAGGTTAAGGAACATTTTCAAACTCGGATTTCCAACTTTGATGATAGAAATATAGAGTACTGGAGCAACCAGTATCTAAATGATGCAGACACTATCAATTTCTTGCAATTATTCCTGGATGATTATCTGCTTGATCACATTGTAACAGAAGCAAACTGCTATGCTGATCAGTTTTGTACAAAAGAAAGGTGATGATTTGAAACCACATTCACAATTTCATAAATAAGTACCTGTAAACCATCAAGAGGATTCTGTTGTGTCCTTACTAGGGACAGATTTGAATTGATCTTGACTTCCTGCACTTTATAAACAATAATGGTGAAGTTGCCAAAGGTGCTTCTTGTCATGACAGGTTATTTAAGGATTAACAGGATAATTCCCAAATTTGCACAACCAGTTGGTCCAAAAGAAGAATTGGCATTGGATGAAATGACAGCCGCATTCAAAGAGCAAAGTGTTTTAAACTGTACAACCCTAAGAAACCAGATAAATGGGAATTTAAGGCTTTTATTTTATCTGAGTCAAAAAGTGGATACATTCTTCACTGGTCAAATCAGAAGAGAAAAGAATAAACTACAAATTTCTCAAATATGGTAGCCATATTGGAAGTGTGACATCACCAGATATGCAAATTAGGTCAAATTTTTTGCATAATTTGAATTTTCAGGTTCTACTAATCAGTTGTTTCAATGTGCATCTTGGGCTATTTCAAATAGTTTAGAGATATACTTGATCTAATTGGACATATATATAAAAACCTGAATATAATAAAAAAATTAAGCACCTAAAGGGTTAAGGGCAAATATAATATTTTTGATTAGTAAACAAACCTTTTGGACAAACTTCCAACATATACTGTAGATCTGTGCCATTTTCTGTATTTCATAGGTGATCAAATTTCAACACTTTATTTTATCATTTTGATTTTTTATTATTAAAGAAAAATGGAGTAACTTTTTTTTACTCCTCTTTCCAGCCTCTGTGTTAAAATCTTGGATTGGTTCAACTACCATGGTCACATATGTATTTCTTTTGAAATTTTAGGCCTTAGTGTATTTGACTTTTTGGTGAGTATAAGTTGTATTTTTTTTTTGTTAAATTAGAGTATAGTTTTTCTTTAGAGATAACATAATTTTTCAAGGTTGTTACTCATTTTGAAATTTGTGAGTTTTATTAATATCAGTGTGCCATTGATACAATTTCCTTCACCTGTTTACAATAAATTTTGTGACATTCAGTCTTCTTTTACTGTATTTTTAGTCTTCTAATACATTGTAAAATAACCTAACATTACATGTTTTATCATATGCTACACTTTTAGTCTTGTGATACAATGTTTTATAATTTTCTGCATTTTTAATCTTCTGATACATTGTAAAACAGATTAACATTACATGTTTTATCATATGCTACATTTTTTGTCTCCTGATATGTCGTAAAACAGATTAACATTACATGTTTTATCACATGCTACATTTTTAATTTCCTGATACATTGTAAAACAGATGAACATTACATGTTTTATCATATGCTACACTTTTAGTCTTGTGATACAATGTTTTATAATTTTCTGCATTTTTAATCTTCTGATACATTGTAAAACAGATTAACATTACGTGTTTTATCATATGCTACATTTTTTGTCTCCTGATACGTAGTAAAACAGATTAACATTACATGTTTTATCATATGCTACATTTTTTTCTCCTGATACGTCGTAAAACAGATTAAACATTACATGTTTTATCACATGCTACATTTGTTTTCTCCTGATACATTGTAAAACAGATTAACATTACATGTTTTATCACATGCTACATTTGTTTTCTCCTGATACCTTGTAAAACAGATTAACATTACGTGTTTTATCATATGCTACATTTTTTGTCTCCTGATACGTCGTAAAACAGATAAACATTACATGTTTTATCACATGCTACATTTGTTTTCTCCTGATACGTTGTAAAACAAAACATCAGTCATTCTCATATGATTATTCAATGATGCAGATAGTTTGCACATAAATTTTGTGAATGCCACATGAAATAAAGAAATTTTGAAACAGTGTAGAAGGAATGTTGATCATTTTCTAATCTGATTTAAGATAACTGTTCATCTTTCTTGAGGCCTAAATAATCTCTTTTAAAATACAATCTTTATTTCACTTTTTTTCTTTTGCAATTAAAGCATGATATGTTTAAAAAGATCTTCAGATGTATCTTCAATTCTTTAACAAAATCTGATGCAGTGCTTCATTAGTCTTAGGTTTACAGTGCTATCATTGTGTGCTGCCTTCAGTGCTTAAGACATTTAATTTTTAATATTTCCTACAAATTATTTTAAAATAGATCTAGCTAATAAGTAATTTTTAGGAAAAGTATAATTCTTAGCAGTGAAAGATAGATCTGAATTCCTGTCTTTATGTGCCTCAAAATTGAATATTTTTATTTTTTCATCTAACATTAATGTTCTAAGTGTAAGCCATAAACATATAGTTTAAACATTTCCTCTGTTGTTTAAAAGTAAAGAAATTTAACGTCTGTCAGCAGTTTTAGAATCCTACACAAAGTTCATATTAATTTAATTTTTGTTAACACATTTCCACAACATCTTGAAATAAAATGATGAGTTGTAATCATTATGAAATCAGGTTGTCAGTGGAACGTAATCAAGTGGAAAGCTTTGTAGTAATTTCTCTACATTGTGTGTTGAATTTACTCCTTCATATATGTTATTAACTTCTTGTTGGTAATAAGGTTTTTTAAATATTTATAGATAATAATAATGTTCTGTGTTAGTATAAGATTCATAGCAGTGATTTAAGATTAATATTTTTATTCCTTCAGAAGGAAAATGGCTATCAACCTTATTCCATTGACCAGGTCAGACATATCGGCTATCAACTGTGTTACTCTGTAAAATGTAAGTTCACAGAAAATAGACCCAGCTGGACAGTAAGTCTTTTTTGTGTATATGGAAACTCTGGTTATTGAATGTTTTGTAATTACAGGGGGACTACAATATAAACAGGGCCGGGGGCTTTGGATGAATTTTCTTGTGAAAGAGTCATTATTTCTCTCAATGTTTATATTGGTATAAGTGACTGAATGTGCTCAGTTCCCTTTCAACAGAATAAACATCTATATACCACATAACCACTAGGTTGTGACCTAGTGGTTATGTGGTATATAGATGTTTATTCTGTTGAAAGGGAACTGAGTGTGACCTAGTGGTTATGTGGTATATAGATATTTATTCTGTTGAAAGGGAACTGAGTGTGACCTAGTGGTTATGTGGTATATAGATATTTATTCTGTTGAAAGGGAACTGAGTGTGACCTAGTGGTTATGTGGTATATAGATATTTATTCTGATGAAAGGGAACTGAGTGT